CGGAAAGCAATTCCCTTCAGCGCAGCCCGAAGCTCTCCAGTTCCAATCCCACCCTTTCATCCAGCTGAGGGGCCAGCTCATCAGTCGAACACTGGTTGGCCGAGTTCGTACAAAACATTGCCCTTTGGAATAGCATTTCGTGGTTTTGATAATTGGCACGGCGCTAACACGTAAGGAAAGAGGAAGTCAATGCCACCACAATTTCATCCTCGACCTTGCTCTTGATAGAACGCTCTTGAAGACTGAGCACCGGCTAGGCTCGAATCGAGGACTGTGCAAACACCTTCCCTTTTGTATGTCGCATCCCCGTAGAGTCGCATCCCGAGAGCCGACAGGACGTTTGTGCTGGACAAGGGAGCAGCGGATGGTGGACGTGTGTGTATATGTATCAGCTGGGGGGAGTTGAGGGGAACAGGCGTTAGCGACATGAAGAAGAGGATTGGATAGAAGCAGGGTGAAAGTAGACGGGGGGAGGGAAGAGAGGAGGCGGGGAGGGGAGAAGGGCATGGTAAGCAGAGGGGTGGAGAGAAGAGGGAGGTTGGAAAGACTCCACCACCCGCTTTGTGGAGGCAACCAACTCGCCAATCAAGGAAAAACACGAAAAAACTCACCCATCCCAAACCCTCAAAAGCTAATCGCACCCACCAGTTACGACGATCGAGCTAGAGTTGGAAAGTCATAGCCCGCCTCTGTTGAGAAGACAAATCCAATGTTCAGTAATCTCTTCGACGGCAGGCTGCCTTGGTGAGTTGATGAGCTGGAAGCGAGCCATGCTCTATCGCTCCTTGTCACACAACCAGCCGCAATACCCTCCAGTAGTGTCCTAAACAGTGCGCGCTCGGATCCAATCCGTGATAAACTCGACCTGCCGCGGCCGCCACATGGTCAAGGGTGCGAGAAGGGTGTAGCACCGGGTTTCTAGGGCATCAATAAGATAAGGACAGGTCAAGGGGCTGCCCCAACGCCAACGCCAACCAAAACATGGCAAGGCTCTGGTCCAATCCTCGGTGGGAACCGGAGATGGGAAGGGGGAGCGCGAGGAGGAGAGGCGGAGAGAGGGTGGGGTGCATTGATGAAGCTATAGCGTAGACTGCATTGAGAGGAGAGCGACTACTGCCCGTCTTGTTATCGGTAGGACAAGGGCAGGTTAAAGAACGGGGCGTTCTGCGAACGCTAACCGAAGCATGGGAAGGGTGAGCGTATAGGGAATGGGCCCCTTGATGACTCTCTGAACAACAAGCTAAAGAGTATAGGGGTAAAGAGAAAGGAGAGGGTTTGTTCGGTGTACAAGTTGCTCTTAGGATCTCCAGCGAAGAAAGTAGGGGATCTCGACAGGCAGAGCGTGATTTTGAACCCACGAAACTCGTATCAGAGCGACGTTATGGAGAGGGAAGAGAGTTGGGGCTGGTGTCCGTAGTTTGATAGTTCATGATTGGCTTGTCGGGTTATACGAGGAGGGGCAAAGATGGCCCGATCACCCCTCAACATCGCGAAGGCTTGACCAACGGGTATAGGTTCGTGTAAGATAGTCTTGAAAAGCCCGGACAGGGGCCCATCAGGTGAACGAGTGCTCAACGCTGCCGATTAATGGTTGATGCCTGTCCTTGATCCACATCCAAAAATACGACCAAGAAGGAAAAAGCGAGAACAAAGAACGAAAACGAAAAGAGGGAAACACCAACTCGCTTTTCAGCCAACGTCAACGGCGGCCTCTCCCTCTCCTTCTCCTTCTCCAAGGGCAAACTCATCCTTTGAATCACCCCATGTCTCCCCTTCAAAGCCGGGCTCCTCCCCACCGAACTTCTCCTGAGAAATCCAGCTCCAACATGTCCAGACTGCGTACCGCATGCACTTGAAGGCGAGCGTGCCACGTTGTTTAAATTTACTGAGCTTGAAGTCCATGTAGTAGTCCGGGGTGCGGTCATGGGAGCAATATGACATAGAACTTTGTCTCCTGGAGGCATTTCTTACGCTTGCGGATGTGCTTGGTGAGGGTGAGGACGCGGACGCGGATGATGATGAGATGATTATTCCATCCAGAAGGAGGAGTGGTCGTGGACCGGGTGTGGCGGGTAGTCTAGAGAGTGTCATTTAGATTTGATTGTCGATGAGTATGATGACGATGGCGACGTTGTGCAGAATGTCTCCGCTTCTGGGCCAAACGTTCGCGAACCAACTTAAACGGAACCCTAACCCTCGTCTCTCGGTACAACCTCCCTCTTTCTGAAGGCAAATGCCTTCAAAGTAGCCTGAAGCTCTCCAGTTCCAACCCCAACCCTTTCATCCAGCTGAGGAACCAACTCATCAGCCGAACACTGGTTGGCTGAGCTCGCACAAAACATTGCCCTATGGAACCGCGTTTCGTGATTTTGATAGATGCCATGAGGGTGACATGTAAGGAGGGAGGGAGTCACTGCTACCACCATTCCATCCTCGACCTTGTTCTTGGAAGAACGGGCTTGAAGACTGAGCAGCTGCACGGCTCGGATCGAGGACGTGCAAACACCTTTCCATTTGTATGCCACATGCCCGTAGAGACGCGTCCCGAGACCCGATCGGAGCAGCAGATGGTGGACGTGTAACGTTGGGAGTGTATATGCATCAGCTGGGGGAAGTTGTGGAGAAGAGGCGTTAGCGACGTGAAGAAGAGAATTCGAAAGTAGACACGAGGGGGGATGAGGGGAGGAGGCGGGGAGGGAAGAAAGGGATGGCAAGAAGAGGGGGTTGAAGAGACTCCACTCCACTCCACCCGCTTGGTGGAGGCAACCAACTCCACAATCCGAAAAACTCGCCCATCCCAAGCCCTCAAGCTCACGACCTTATCGCATCCACCAATTACAACGATTGAGCTAGGTCGGCCCAGATAATGAAGGAGTAGCACTTGAGCTTGAGGGGCCCTGTCTCCATGAGTTGGTTGAGGGATCGACGGTGACGCCACCGACGTGAAGGTGCGGTGTGTAGTTTGGTCTGAGTCGTCTTGCTGGTGATGCAAGCCTCCCCCACGCTCGTTGCGTGAATCTCCACCACGTTTGTAGTTCGAGCTCCCGCCACCGCATTGATCCCTAGTTCCTGATGTGTACTCGCCTAGTCCATCGACGGCGCTGAAATTCGGGGACGGAGAAGAGCCGCGACGTTAGGCGAGACTGACTTGGTCCTCCCGCTGCGCCTAAGTGTGCGTATACATATTGTCAGGAGGGATCACACACAGAAAAAAATCAAACCAAAGATACATACGAACATTAGCGACAACGCATTGAATCCTACGAAATGAGAAGTCAGCAAGACGGATCCAAGTTATGAAGGTGAGGGGAAGCATATCACCTCTTTGGCTTCGAAATTTGGCGTCTGGCATCGTATTTCCGTGTCCACGAGTGTAGCTAATGGGTTCATTGAGGATATGTGTCCGTTGTGAAGGAAACTGTTCTGGAGGAAGTATGTTGAGGGTGGTCTTGCACGCCTAAAACGAAGAAAACTGACCTCTGGATAGCGTTATCTGAGTCTTGCGCAGAAACATTTACGCCTCTCTTAACCGGTTCCGAGCGCCCATAGAACAAGTGACAGAATGTTGAGCTGGTCAAAGTGTGGAGCGCGTTCGTTGCGCCCAAGTTCCCACGCACACATCTCCAACGTGAGCCAACCAAAAGCCCTCCAGGGCGCTCAGAACGTTGTTATAGCTCACAGCAACATAAATGTCGCCGATGGGGTAAGTCAACCTCTCTGATGCTTCTTGTCACAAGCTAATCAATCGGTATTTTGCACAGATCAATTAAATAAGGACTACATTAGCGCTCTCAACAGAACGGCATCCGATGCAGCGATTCCCGGCCGTAAAACCAAACGTACTTATCAAAAGAGCAATTGAGATTGGGGAAAGATAAAGTTAACACATACGCTGCAAAAACTCCTCCTCGTGCGATCGTAATTCGAGACATCTAGACTAATAAAGTACAGGAGTTTTGCACGTCTGTCGAGTAAATATTAGTGAGGGGGTTAAGAATGAGATCAACGAGCAAAATACCAAAGAGAGATATGACAACAGAAGAGCCGTATGAGAAAACCGAAGGTTTGAGCGTATGGTGAAGTAGAAGCCTGCCATGGCGTTGATGGACGTGAGGACCCGGTCCTTGGTGAATACGTTGATGACAACCTCCCTCTGAAAGCCCCAACTCGATGAGCATGTAGAAAGCGAGCAGGCCATGGATCTAGACTTGACCGACATCCTGCCCCCATAACCTCTGGGTGAAAGCCCCGTATGTCGAAGTGAACGAAGGAGTGCCTTGGTGAAGAACGCACGACAAAGCCAATCTCTGGCTTGAGAGCACATCGTGATTCAAAGCTTTCTAGTACACCGAATAACACGCAGCGGGAAGACCATATGACTTTGCCGATAAATTGAGAGTAGGGCGAAATGCCAGAAGCCCGCCGTGAGGTGTGTATTGGCGATCACAGTCCGCCTCTGAATAGCTCGTGCGGAAAGGGACGAAGGCATGAGTCTTTACCCGCGACTCCTTGGCCGACAACCTGCTCGTAACCCCGAGTAGAGCCACATATGTATGTTCGCCTATGGAAATCTGTCCCGAGGGTAAAAACTGGCCATGACTTGGACACCAACTGATACACAGGCGGGATGGACGCATATACGAAGCACACCCCTGGTAGTCGAGTGGAAAAACATAACGCGCCTTTGTTGATAAGACAAAGACAAACCCGACCTTCGGTAATCTCTTCGACGGCAGTCTCTCAGAGGCTGTCTTGTCGAGTTGATTGATAGGATGGAAGCGAGATGTGGTCTACGGCCCCTTGTCATGCAATCAGCCCCAATACCCTCCAGTTGTGTTGAAAACAGTGCATCAACGCTGAGCCGCTCAGATCCGATCTTTGATAAACTGCGTGAACGACGAACTGCCTCGGGGGTGCCAGATAAGTGGGGAAGGATGGAGCACCGGATTTCTAGGAGAGAGTCGCGTACAATGCCTAAAGGAACAGACATAGCGCGCCTCGGCATCGTATCCATAAGACAGGGACAGGTCAAGGAACTGCCCGTGCTGCCGACGCCAAAACATGGCAAGGCTCGGGTCAGATCCTTGGTGACAACCTGCCGTGGCAGACTCTGGCTCCCTAATCGAATAAGAGAATGGCATGTGTGACAGGGGACCGCAGATCGGAAGGAGGAGCGCGAGGGGGAAAAGCGGAGAGAGGGGGGTGCAGTGATGAAAGGATATACCGTGACTACATTGAGAGCCCGTCTTCGTATCGATAAGACAAGGGTAGGTCAAAGAACGGAGCATTCTGCGAACGCCAACCGAATCATGGGCAGGGTGAACGCATAGCCTATAGGGTGTCCGATCCTTGGTAACTCTGTAAACAACGCTATGATAGCCTCTCAATCTAAGGACAGAGGGTAAGTCAGGTCCAATTTCTTGCTGGTTGGACTCACCGATCTGCCACGCCAACTCAACACCACGACTTCGTCCTTGTCTCCTTCAACTCGTCCTCAATCTTTTTCTTCCACTGTGTGAAGCGCTTCAGGCTCGTTCTTCAAGCTGTCAACTTGAAGCTCACCTGGTCGGGTCATGAGCTCCGCCAAAAATTGTCGGAATCAGTAGGGCGGATCGCGTTGGGAAGGAAACGGTCGGAGACGCTGCGCGTGGAGTACCCCGCAGCTGATCGAGGTGAAGGATTGAGGCAGGTGGAGACAAATGAATTGATTGGCCGTTCTGAGCAGTTGTTACCACATTTACATTGAGCGCGGGGGAGAGGAACGATGGGGGTAGACAGAGTGATGCAATACAGCCAGGGAAGGGAAGAATGAAGAGGCAGTATTGACGAGTGATAGCGCGAACCAAAACTTCAAGCGCTTCAAGCTCCAAAGCGTAGAAACGTTTACGCTTCTCTGAACCGAGTTCCGAGCGCCCAGTGGGGCAGGTGACAAAGAGCTGTGGACCGTGGTGAGCGCTTACCGGCAAAACGCGAACGATGCCTGATGGTTAACGTGTGGCGTTTGTTGCAAGTTGTCGCTTCTTTCATTCGCCCACATCTGCCACACGTCCAACATGAGTGAAAACCATATCCTCCAAGGTGCTCAGAATCCCGTTATAACGGGCGGCACATTCATGGCTGCCGAGACTGTAAGTGAACCGCTCTGATGTCCTCTTATCGCAAACTAATCAGTTGGTATTTTGCGCAGATCAATCACTACACTAGCGCTGGCAACAAAGCGACATCCGACGCAGCGATTCCCGTGAAACCAAACTCAAGTATTCGGTTCACAGGTCGTACCGATGTTCTCGCAAAACTCAAGAAACATTTTACGGCCCAAAGCAACGATCAACTCCGCCGCCGAAAATTCTTTTTGTTGTATGGTATGGGGGGTATTGGGAAGACTCAGATTTGTTTGAGGTTCATGGAGGATATGGCTGACTAGTAAGTACCCCACTATATTACTTAGTCCCGGTTTCTGATTGGTCCCCAGCTTTTCCCATGTTTTCTGGATTGATGCATCTTCAGTTGGTACGATCACTCAGGGGCTGAAGGGAATCTGCAACCTTCCTGAGGCTCAGTCTTCTGCTCTGGGTGGTTCACCTGAATCTGCTTTACAGTGGATTAGCTCTCTGAGAGGAAACTATGCAATGGTCTTTGATAATGCTGATAATCTGACACCTGGGGAACTTGAGCAATATTTTCCATCTGGGCTAGGGGGGAATATTCTGATAACTAGTCGCAACTCTGGTTTAAAACATTTGACTTTACATGAGAGTTCTCTTGAGGTGAAAGAGATGGAAGAAAATGATGCCATCTCTCTACTCTTGAAGGCTGCTTGGTTGGATGAGTCTCAGGAAGGTTTGCAGCCTATGGCTTCCAAGATTGTGAATGAGCTCTTTTGCATTCCTCTGGCTATTGATCAGGCTGGTGCTTTCATTGCTTCTGGGAACACAGACATAAGAGACTATCTTGATGAATATTCTCAAAACAGAGAAAGATTATTATCTCACCCAGCTTTTAAAGGGGCTTCTAAATATAACAGAACTGTGTATGGGACTTGGGAGCTATCATTTAAAGAAATTGAGGCAAGAGCTAAAAGTGATGATTCTCAAAGAGCTGAAGCAGCTAAGAGTGCAATATTTCTTCTGGCAATCTTTGCCTTTTTTCATTTTGATGGTATTACAGCAGAAATTTTTTCTTATGCTGCTACCCAGAAATGTGGTGATAATGAGCAGAGGTCTTCCTTGCCTCTTGCAAGCTCCATAATTGACTGCACACTGCTTCAGCTTCACAACACAGGAAAATGGGATAATTTCTTCTTCAAAGAGGGAGTTCAGGTACTACTATCATTTGGCCTGATCAAACTGGTATCACCCAAAGGTGTTTATACCATGCACCCACTTATTCATGCATGGGGAAGAGACAGAATGTCCCCAGAAGATAGACAGAAATACTGTTTGATGGCATATGTAATGTTAGCTTGCTCTCTGCCAAAATACTTCAATAAGCAGCCATATCAGTTCAGAAGGATTTTGGTCACTCATTTGAGGGCCAATCTACAGCACAGTGTAATGACAAAGAAGGAAATGGTTGATAAATATTTTGATGATGCTCATGAAAAATTTGGGAGAATGTTGGAGGAGCAGGGGTATTTCAGTGAAGCAGAGAAGTTTCAAATTCTAGTGCTGGATGCAAGAAGCAGAACTCTTGGTGAAGAGCACCCAGATATGATCAGGGCCATGGGTGAACTTGCAACTACATATCAGAAGTTAGGAAAATATGCAGATGCAGAAAAACTTGACATGAAGACTCTAGATATGAGAAAGAGACTTCTTGGAGAACATCACATACAAACAATTTGGTCCATGGCTAATCTTGCAATGACATATGCAAGGCTAGGAAAATATGCAGATGCAGAGAAGCTTGAAAGCAAAGTTCTAGATATGAGAAACAGACTTCTTGGAGGAGAGCACCCAGATACAATCTGGGCCATGAATAATCTTGCAGATACATATCAGACTCTAGGAAAATATGCAGATGCAGAGAAGCTTCAAGTCAAAGTTTTAGATATGAGAAACAGACTTCTAGGAGAAGAGCACCTAGATACAATCTCAGCCATGAATAATCTTGCAAATATATATAGCAGTCTAGGAAAATGTGCAGATGCAGAGAAGCTTCAAAGCAGAGTTCTAGATATGAGAAACAGACTTCTTGGAGAAGAACACCCTGACACAATTGATGCAATGGAAAACCTCACAATAACATTTTGCCATCTACAAAAATACACAGATGCAGTCAGGCTGGAAGCTCAAGTTGTGGATGTAAGAATGAAGATTCTTGGAGAAGAACATCCAAAAACAGTCAAAGCAGTGGCATTACTTGGACAAATTAGAACTCAAGCCAATACAGGTACTTCAGGAAGTGAATCAAAGAAACAAGGTGAGTCTTATCTACTCAAGAATCTGGTCAATTCACATATTTACAATATTAGCTCACCATTTTTCCACAATTGCAAGTAGGCTTTCCAAAATATTGAAGAGAAAGGTATGCAATATTCCAACATTTCTCATATTATAGATTCTTATTTGGCTTTTCAGTAGTTAGTGTAACATATCCCTGGGGCCCTTGAGCACTGCAGGCTTCTTATGTAGCAGGCATTGGCTTGTAATTATAGGAGCCAATTGAAAGTCATGATATGTTTTTGCTAAGCATCAAACATTGAAATTTCAATCACAGCATCATAAACACTACAGCCCTATCCAAAAATATTCCCTAGAAGAGGGGAGGTGTGAGAACATATTCACGCAAACTCAGATTGAGAAAACCAGCAAGGTCAAGGAAAACTACCATGCCAGAGGCAAGAAATTGGGGTGATTGCAAGGTTGGGATAGAAGAACAGATCATTTACTCAAGAGGCTCACAGATGACAGTAAAGAGGAAAGGAAGAGCAAGAGGGCTTGAAAAGGGAGGGGCTCTACCAATTCCATTCCTCGTCTTCATCTTGAGTCTTGGTATTGGAGGATCTCGTTGTAGGTTTGTTTGAAGATTTCATGCCCCGTCCAGCTGGGAGGGCATCAAGGTCGTCATGTGCAGTTTCTTGGAATCAGGGGTCATAATGCTTGCAATGCATATAGTATCATTGTTGTCGTTGTCAAGAAGGGAGGGGGATAAAGGCGAGGTAGGTGGAGGCATGCTCAGTGTACATGAGATTGGTGGAGCTGACCCGATCAGTGTGGTGGGAGCATTCCATGCAGAAACAATGCTTTGTGAGACATCTGATAGTAGCACTGATGCTCATTTTTGACTTTTGGTGAAGCTGTATACAGAAATAGACGACATTAGCATCACAGTAAGGAACCAGGGGAGACAAAAAGAAAGCCAGAGGGACAAGGTTGAACCAAGACCTGGGACCCTTTTGCGCATCAAAAAGCAGACTGGTCCAAGAAAAAGAGTCCAATCGAAAATACGTACATAGGACTATCCCTCAACTCCCCTAACTTTTTACCCATACTACCCATCCACAATGCACCTCCACCCACCAAGACACCCAGGCCAGGGATGAGGTCTTTACGCTGTCACTGCTTTTCCGAGCGGACTCCGGCCGGACTCTGTTGGACTGAGGGTATGCAGAACAGATATTTTTCTGCTTTGAAATGCAGCAAATTTTCCGGTGAATGTCCGAAGCTTTTCCGAGCATTTTTGGTCAGACTGAAAAGTCCGTCAGACTTTTCCGACGGACTTCCGATGGACTAACAGCAAACTAGCACCCAGTCCACTGGAAATGACAAGCAAGTGCCAACGGAATTCCAGTGGACAAATCCAACAGAAGTCCAACGGAATTCCAACAGACTGTTGTTATTATTATTAATATATAACATTAAAAAAATGCAACATTGGGGAATTGAACACTCAACCTTAGGATCTGAAGCATATGGAACCCAATGCTAAACTAGCTGCACCAAGGAGCCTTTGATATAAGTAAGTACTTTGTACTATACATACCTACTGTTTGACCGCTTTCCTAAAACGGTCATCGGCAAACGCCGACGCATCATTTGGCCATCATCAATGATCCCACCTCGCTTGTCCTCAACCACATCCATCCCCAGCAATGACAGCCCACCGACCCACGACGACACAACACACGACACGGATGGCACGACGACACAACAACACGACGACATGACAATGACGACACGACAACAACACGACAACATGACAACAACAACACAATGACGTGTGAACGACGCGCGACACGGACAACACAACAACACAACAACAACAACAACACGATGACGTGTCGACAACGCCCGCCGACGAGACAACAACGAGGTGACGACAACACCCAAGGAGAACGAAAGGCAACAACGATGCGCAACGGCGACAGGACGGACAACGACACAACGACGATGACACAACGACGATGACACAACACGTGAGGACGACGACAAAACATGTGACACGAGGACGGCGACATGACGCGACGCGAGGACGGCGACACGACACGACGCAATAACACGTCAACGATGCGTGCCAATGACCATGCACGAACGAGGATGAGGGCCCAGCACCACCATCCCCTCCCCCCTCCATTACTCACCATTCCATCCCCTCACCATTACTCACCACTCCCTCCCCCCACCCTTACTCCCCTCCCTTGCTGCTCACCACTCCCTCCCCCCTCCCTTGCTCCCTCCTCCCTTGCTCCCTCCTCCTCCCTTGCTGCTCCCCACTCCCTCCTCCCCCCTTGCTGCTCCCCACTCCCTCCTCCTCCCTTACTCCCTCCTCCCTTGCTGCTTACCATTCCCTCCCCCCTCCCTTTCTGTTCCTCCCCCCTCACTTTTTGTCCCTTCCCCCTCACTTTTTGTCCCTCCCCCCTCCCTTTCTGATCACCACCCCCTCCCCCTTCTCTGTAACATAGAATGTAGTAAAATAAATTTATGTAGGTATAAAATATACTTTGTTTTTGAAACCTCAATGTCTTAAGGAATTTAGCATAAGGTCTGACCAGGGCCTGACTTGTTTAGATTTACTTATAAGAATTGCAGACTGGACACTGAAAGTCTGTTGGAAGTTGTGCCTTTTTTGCTTAGAAGTCCATTGAAAGTCCATTGGAAGTCCAGTGGAAGTCCAGCAGACTGAGAACTTAGCAATTATGATGGTTTCTGCCTCTGTCCGTTGGAAATCCGACAGAAGTCCAGCAGACGTCCAACGGACACAGAATTCCGGCCAGTCCAACCATTTCTTGCTTCTAAGTAGTTTGAGTGGACTTTCACTGGACTTTGCCTGGACTTGCAGCGGAATCCAGTCATGTCCAATGGACTCCGACGGTCTTCTGATGGACTGTCCACTGAGTCCATCGGAAATGGCAGGGTCCGATGAAAGTCCATCAGAGTCCGTTGGACAAGCAGTGGGAGTGTAAAGTACTGCCAGGGATAGACAAAGGGGGAGGAAGAGATCCCATCCCATTCACACCGCCCCCAACCCTCCCATCGGACTGAGCCACATACCGATGTCCATTCATGTTGATGCTCGCCTGCATATTCCCATTCGTCTTCTCCCTGCCACTACTTCCCCCCTCAAGCTTCGCAGTACCCTCAAGCTCAGGGAGCAGTGACGGTACCCTTGAGCTCCCTACTGAACTTGCAGTAGTGGCGCTTGCCTTCAACCCAGGCTCGATGGCCGACAACCCACTGCTCCAATGCAGGGGGATGACATCTTTCTATTTCCACTGGTGGACTTTGGCTCCTCCACTCAGGGTCAAATCCAAGCTGGATGTGAAGGTCACCTTGTTGAACTCCTCCTCGTTGTCAGGCTCTCCTTGGGGTTGAGGCTCCCCTGGAACAGGCTGCTGTGGCTCCACCGCACATTGTTGCCGTCCTTTGCACTTGAAAGCAGGGTTCGGACTCATGGTCAGAGTTGCACCTGTATCGTGTACCATCAACTCCAGGGCCACACAAAAGTCATCCCTTTCCCCAAGCAATTCTTCACCCTCCCCAGCATCATCGCCTCCCAACTCCTTGCTGCCTAAAGATGATGCAGCCGTTGAGCTTGAGCACTGCGAATACCGCATCATCACACTGGTAGCCATAGCATGTGTCGACAGTGAAGAAAGACTCTCCTTCTCCCTCATGTGAATCCACCATCTTGGTGTCGTTGGCCCTCCAGATAGTGGTGAGCTTCGTTCCACCAATAGTGGCGAACTTCGTTGGCCCGAAAGGGACAAAGGAGAAGCAGATAATGGGGATGAGTAGCTGGGAGTCAAGTTCGGATCGGTGATAGACAATCCAGACACCAAGAATTGCTGCATGCCCTCTTTAATGTCTTCTAGCACTGCAGGGCCCATGAGGCCAGCTACAATGGTGGAGGCAGGGTTGGTGATAGTAATCGGGGGTGCCCTTGATACTGCATCTGGAGGTGATTGTGACTTTTCGAAGCTGCAGTTTACGATGCATTCCCATTTACGTTTTATGTGTACGCATCAAGGTAAGTGATTGAGATTCAGGAAAAAAGAAGATTAAGGCATACACTGCAACTCCTCCTCCTCCTGAACAACCAGCTGCGATCGTAATTCGAGGCATTTGGACTCTTTTTGAGGAATAAAGTGCAGAAATTCTGCATGTCTGTCAAGTGAGCATTAGTTTTGGAAATGAGATCAACAAGTAAGATGGAAAAGAGACATAGGCCAACATAGAAACTGAAGATATAAGCGTAAGGTAAAATATAAGCCTGCCATGGTGTAATTGGACACGAGGAACAGGTCCTTGTTGAGTTCTTTGATAGCACCGCATTTCTAGGAGGAAGTTGTGTGCATGGACTGCCTCGGCATCAACAGGTCAATGGGCTGCCCCAACACCAACCAAGAGATGACAAGGCTCGGGTCCAATCCTTGGTGGGAACCAGAGATGGGAAGGAGAAGCGCGAGGAGGAGAGAAGGAGAGAGGGTGGGGTGCAGTAATGAAGCTATAGTGTTGACTGCATTGAGAGCAGAACGTCTACTGCCCGTCTTGTTATCGGTAGGACAAAGGCAGGCAGAATGGGGAGTTTCGCGAATGCCAACTGAATCATGGGCATGGTCAATGCATAGGATACAGGCCCCATCCTTGGTAATGCTCTAAATGACTACCTGCCTCGATAGCATCTCAACCAAGGGGTCAAAAGAGTTGAGTTTGGGGGTGAAGTGAAAGGAGAGCAAGCCTGGGTTGGAGGTCTTTACCATCCCCCACGTAATCCATATGGACTCCACTGGACTCCACTGGACTCCACTGGACTCCACTGGACTCCAGTGGATTCCAGTGGCCCTCTTACCAGGCCAGATTGGCTGGCAGAATGCCCAGTCCACTGGAGTCCAGTCCAGTCCAGTCCACTGGACTCCCACTGGACTGCCAGCCACTTTCCTGAGTCCAGTCCCAGTCCACTGGACTATGAGTCCAGTCAGAGTCCAGTGGAGTCCAGTGGAGTCCAGTGGATTCCAGTCATTCCAGTATATTATTATTATTATATATGAATACTACTAAAAAAGCGAAAATAGACTCAATAAACTTACATTTTAAATAATTTACATATAGTGTGGGTCAGTGATAGCTGCAATAAGGATTTATGATTTTGTTCAGTCTGCGGGGTGAGGTCACGTGACTTACTTGAGGGCGTGCCATATCGTCACGTCTCCTGTTTGCGGCATGGTCACACCTCCGTGACCATCCCATTCCCTTCCACCACCACCACCTCTATCACTGCCCACGCCAACGCCGCCCACACCAACTCCGCCCACGTCAACGCCGCCCACATCAACGCCGCCCACATCAATGCCGCCCACGCCAACGCCGCCCACGCCCATGCCCATGCCAACGTGGAAGGACAGGCCAAGAACGAGGGACGGCGCCCATGACGTGTCAACGTCATGGGCCAAGGGTATGTCTGCCCCACCACCCCAATGCCCCGTACTCACCACGACAGGCGCCAGCGGCACGCAACAACAAAAACAACACACGAGGAGGCCAACGACACACAAGAACGACAACACGAAGACGACAACACACGACGACGACAACACGCGAGGACGACGACACGCCAGGACGACGATATGCGAGGACGACGACGACGCGCGAGGACGACAACACACGACGACGACGACGACTACACGCCGGGACGACGACACACGACCACGACGACGACACGCGACCGCGACGACGACGACACGCGACGACGACGACTACACGCTGGGACGACGACACGTGACCGACGACACGCGATGATGACGACTAACACGCCGGGACGACGACACACGACGACGATGATGAACGAGCGCCGACGAAAACGCCGCCCCCACCACACCCGAAAAACGACGAGCGCCCGCCAGCGCTGAACGGCGACGAGGCCCCTTCACTCTCTCCCCCTTTCCTTGCTCCTCTCTCCCCCCCTCCCTTTCCTTCCCCCTTCCTTGCTCCCTCCCCCCTCTATTCATTCCTCTCTTCCCCCTCCCTTTCCCTTTCCCCTCCCTTTCCCTTTCCCCTCCCTTTCCCTTTCCCCTCCCCTTCCCTTTCCCCTCCCTTTCCCTTTCCCTTCCCTTTCCCTTTCCCTTCCCCCTCCCTCCCCCCTCTGTAACATAGAATCTATGTAAATTTAATTAATTTAATTAATAAATATACTTCAATTTTATTTTTTGTTTTTAAGTCTAAGTTCAGGAATTCTGGATTAACTTAGGTCTGTGGCAGTCCAGTCCAGTCCAGTTTTGTGTTGGGAGAGTCCAGTGGAGTCCAGTCCAGTCCAGTTTTGTGATTTGCAGTCCAGTCCAGTCCAGTCCAGTCCAGTTTTGTGCTTGCAGTCCAGTGGAGTCCAGTGGAGTCCAGTTTTGTGCTGGGAGTCCAGTGGAGTCCAGTTTTGTGATTGGCAGTCCAGTCCAGTCCAGTCCAGTGGAATCCAGTGGAATCCAGTGGAATCCATGTGGATTATGTGGGGGATGGTAAAGTATTGCCTGGGTTGCCATTCGGTGCACAAGTTGTTCCTAGGACCTTCAGAGTGAAAGTAGGGAATCTTGACATGGCTTTGAGCCGACGAAACACATATCAGAGCAACATTATGGGGAGGGAAGAGAGTTGGGGCTGGTGGCCATCATTGATAATTTATGGGTGACTTTTCAGGTGATATGAGGAAGGGCAAAGTTGGCCTGGTCCCTCCTCAACATTGCGAAGGCTTGACTGGATAAGACCAACAGTCCACAGATATACGTCTGTGCAAAAGAAGACTGGTTAGGGGCCCATCAGGTGAACGAGCACTCAACGCTGCTGATAAATGGTTGATGCCTGTCCTTGATTCACATCCAAAAATATGACCAAGAAAGAAAAAGCAAGAACAAAAAACAAAAACAAAAACAGGGAAACACCAACTCACTTTTCACCCGTAAAAATGCGAATTTTAGCAATTTCTCCTATAAAACCTCCTATAGTAGAAATACAGTCATATTGATCATAAGGATCATTAGATGCAACCCGGTCTAGTCAATTAAAGTCTACATCTGAGAAATGTGCATGCCTTAGGCAGTAGGAATTGCAGTCAGTTTGTGACTGAATCACTTCAATATACTCGAAGTCTAATAAAAGGCTACACTACCATGAAATAGTACACTACAGAGTGTCCTAGAGTAAAAACACCTCAGCACAGGGTGTTGGAGTTTACACCAAACCAGGGTCTCACTTTACTATGGATTGAAAGATATTAATTCTAAAGATAAACGTGCAAGCGTAGAAACTCGACGCATACCTGATGCAAGAAGTCATTGGGTCACATGCTACAAAGCATGATCCAAGAAGTCATGTGGAGAGACGCATCATGCGCATCACGTGCATCGACACATCACAAATCATGGCATCATTGACCCAAGAAAACTAGGCTTCATGAAATATTCCGAAGTCTGCCAAGAGAGAAAAACTATGAATGATTTGCCGTGCGGTCCGAGACCCAGGCATAGTATCTAATAATAGAGAGAAAATCACTAAGCGGACTGTTTGCCTCGGCTGAACCAATCATGAAAACCGTTTACGGCGATTCCCATGTATGCATCAATACTGATGCATCGCGTCGCCACAATAGAGAAAACACTACGAAAACTTAAAAGAAGTAAGCTCAGTTGTGCCACACACAATTGAGCCACTTCAAACCTTTACTAAAAATCAGTATTAATGCGTCTGACCTCCCGGACAATGCACGGACATGTAAATATAAATAGAAAACATAGAATAGTATAAAAAGAGGACACGTGCAGGCTGAAACATAAGGAATTATCCCCCGCGTTGACCAGCTGTGTGGAAGTGCGTCATGTTCCATTCACGATGCCTTCTATATTTTGAGTTTTCGCTTTTGTCTCATAATTTTTACATTTTATTTTGTCTTTTGTATTTTAACTGTTCTTTACTGAAAGTCCAAAGCGAAAGAAACACATATTTTCTTACAGATCAAGAAGAATGTAGCCAAACAGTGATTTCTGGTGCTTGGAGAAGATGTCAAACACACTCGCTAGTTGCTCAACAACACGCACCTTTCTTCGAAGTGGACTTGAGGTTTTCTTATGTATTCGTACGCTCAACTTTATTTTATTTTCTTTTATTTTATTTTCTTTGCTTTTCTTTTTTTACTTATGACAGAACCCTTTTCGCTCAACGCATTTTCTGACGGCTAGACGGTAGGGTCGAGCGTCAATGTTAGGAATGTCCGCACTGAGGCAGGCAGTCGCGCATGAAAATAGACCTCTTCCTACATTGTAAGTTCCCCAAGTCATCCCTAGCTTGAAGGACTCGCAGCGAGAGGAGGGAGCGATGTCGGATTCGTTTTATTCTTTGGACATTTTCTCTTGTTGGTTATTTTTCTATTTTTAGACGTTTTCTGTTTATTTTGGTCAGACTGCACGAGAGAACGTGTGTAGGTCTCGTGATCATTTGTAAAGTATATATAGGTTCATCGCGTCTTTTGAAATTGATTCTTCCCCCCCCATCCAATACTCAAGTACTCTTAAGTTTTCAAGTCTTTACTTTTTCACTGCCGACGTGTTCTGTCCTTTTTGACGACAACTCATATCGACAACATGCGCGCAAGTTTATACAGAGATTAGACGGAGACGTTGGGCGCGTTCACACGTCACTCACGCTAAACACTCAGTCTTCTTTTCTTTGATCCCCATTCCTTTCGTACTTCATCCCCCTTATTTTTCTGTGGCAGACGACCAGTGACCCCTCCCTGTCCTTGAACTTTCGTTCTTCCACAGTGGTGACTGAGACAGGGGTTCTGGTTTTCCGTTCTGCACCTTTGGCTATAGTCGAGAAAATATTGGTACATCCTCATAATTTGAAAAGCGTGCTGATTACTAGGTTTTCAGGCGCATATATCCTCTTTTCCTTGCCACAACACGACCAAAACCCCTCCACTTTCGAAACTTTGAAATCTCTCGAAGTAGAAGAACCATACATTTGGCTGCATATACGCTAAGCGTTCCTCTTTGATCTTTTCTTTTGCTTCGATTTTCTTTCTTTTTCTCTTATTTTGATGAGTCCTGTGGACAAAATAACGTCTATGGATTCTATGGCTTTGTCCGTGTCCGAAATGAGTCTTAACGCTACTCTAGGCGTTCCTATGCCTATGCCTGGAACGCCAGGCGCTCCCAAATTCAAAGGGAAAAATGTGTTGGATTTTTTGGATTCTCTCGAGCAACACGCTGATAGTGCTAGAGTTTCGCATTTGCTTCTTCCCGGATATGTTTTAAGATATTGTCATATGAAAGTTCGGATGGTCATTGGGGCGTCTAAACTTTTGGCTGGAGATGACTGGGTTGCTACGAGAGTTTATTTGACGGATCTTTATGGATCTAACGACTCCATTCCTCCCAATTCTCCTGATCACTTGTGACACTGGTGCGCTAGTCATGGAGAGTCAGGCATTATCGCGTCCCGCAAAGACATGGATAAATATTATCGGGATTTCACCGCGTTATCTTCAGATTTGACACCCAGTAAAATGCTAGAAAACGACGTTAACCTTTGTTTTTACAGAGGGATTCCGACGTCTCTACGTACTCGAATCAAAAAGCGCATACCGGCTGCAAACCTCAAGACTTCTTCGCCTCCCACTACCGAATTTCTTCTTCGTCTTTTGCGAGCCGAGTTTGATGAGGAAGATCTGGACGCAAAAACCGCTTACGTTGGCCTTAGTCTAGATTCAGATTCTGACTCGAGCTCGAGTGATTCAGATGAAGATATCGACAAGGTGCTTATCACGAAGAAAAAGAAGAAACCCTCGAAAAAGGTAGCTTTCGAAAAAACGGTCCCAGCTGTGCCGATAGTCGAACCAGTTGGATTCAGCCCTGTAGATCGACTTACCAAGCAAATGGAGGATTTGAGGTTGGCGCACGCTGAGTTTCTACGTTCCATTAATATTACTCCGAACCCAAATCTAACCAATCAACAAATCCTGAGAGAAGCTAGGTGTTTCTTTTGCGACAAGACAACACATCGTCTCGGTTTGAAAATTTGTCCCGAAGTCGAGGCTTGTATTAAAGAAGGATTGGTGGCTTATACTCCCCTCGGTAGACTTGCGCGGTCCGACAGATCTGAGCTTCCTCGAGTTTTTGGAAGTGACGGCGGAGTTGCGAAAGTTTTGCGGGAACAACACACTATGTCCAGTAATTTAAAAGGCAAGGCCAGGGAGGCCTCTAGAGACCTGCCTCCCCATATGGCCAACTATGCCGGTCTATTATTTGATGGTGAAGACGTGCTTTCTTCGGAAGTATTTAACGCTTCGCCTTCTTCTGCGGTTCCTGAATGGCGAGCACCTCTTTCATCAACACTGGCTGTTACT